GCATGGAGTTAACAGCAGAAATTACCTGCATGAAGAAGCAGCTGAGGGAATAGAATGGTGTAGCAAGTGGAGGTGCAGCAACAGCTGAACTCCCAGTGGACAGACATTGTTGCAGAAAGCCATCCCCCTTCCTGCCTTTCTCTGCACAGGAAGGAAATCCAATGTATAGATGCAGTGTCACATGCTGTCTTCCAGAAGGGCTTACAAAGGCAGACATGACAAGCAAGCTGGCAATCAGCTGCAGAAAACCATAAAATTACACAGGCTACAGCTTTTCAGATGTTATCTGTACAGTTTTAACTCTACACAAACCGGAGGCACACCTTCCCAAACACAAGCTCAGTCTCACTGTTCCCTTTTTCTTCCCACATTTGAGTTAGAAAAGCTGGAAGAGGATAAAGGTTTTTAAACCACCCTGAGCTAATTTTGAATATCATCACTGTAGAGGAAATGCAAAGTCATGGCCTGAAATAGTGATTGAGTACCTGGTGGGAAGGCAGGGCCAACCCGTGGGAGCTCAAGTACATGCAGTGCACCTAAGTGACCAGAAAGGGTAGAAACAGGATCTGCCCCTTCTCAGACCTTACTTAAGGGTTGGGTATCTTACAGGAGCTTCCTGCCTCCTGGAGTGAAGTTTTTTTTTTTTATTGTCAGTTATACAACTGTGGTGAGTGCTCCATGCTACCCTATTAAGAGCAGGCTGCTGTGGCTGCTCAGTGTTGACATTAATTACATCAAGAGGACAAAAAGGTAGCATGGAGTTAACAGCAGAAATTACCTGCATGAAGAAGCAGCTGAGGGAATAGATGGTGTGGCAAGTGTTACCTTGTGAAGGTAAGCAGTTTTTCTTCTTTTGCTTCTGCATCCATGACTGTTGTATTTGGGCTTGTTCTCATTTGCTGCAGCCTAGGATTGTATCACCCTGCTACTATACCATCACATTATAGCATTACAGTCATGTTGTGTGTTTTCTGAAAGATTAACTCTGCTATTGCACTTTTGCTTATTGCATTAAAGGACAATATTTAACTTGAAGAGTAACTTCAAGTCCCTAGTATTCTTTTAGTGCTCTCAGACTTTAAACTGCTATACGTAGAGTTTAGAGTTAAAGACTTAAAAGCAAAGCAACAACAAAAAACCTAACTTAAACCCCCAAACAATAAAGAACTTCAAGCTATTTTACTGTACAAATCCTAACGATTAAGAAGTACCCCATAGTTACACACACTTACCAAGGTGGGGGCGTATCTCCCTATCTAGAGCCCTGCAGTCTATTTCCCTGTGGGGCATCCTAGGAAGCATAAAGGCGAGACAGACATCTAAGTGCTAAACAATTTTTTTCTCCTTGAATGCCTGGCACAGCTCCACATGCCCAGCTCACATCTTCCATTTTCAGTCTAGCTTATCTTCCATACAGAGAGGTCAATCTGAGGACCAAATGGGACAGCTGACAACTACTAATGGCCAGCTAACCACGTCAGCAGGGCCAAGCCAATATGACCTCCTATATTAAGCTCAGATCCGGGTGCAGTCCCAGCATTATAGTTTACATTTCGGTTACTCTAGAAGCCCAGAAGGATTTACCCCAATCAAGAGTTGCAGTATCTCAATACTTACATTTGGTATCATTGACTGGGCAAAGGTTCAACGCAGATGAAGGGTGGATAAAACCAGAGCCATGGCTGATCACTGCAGAAACAACACACCAACAAGGTCATAGTCGTACAGCCCCTGAGCGCAAGCTCAATCAGCAGTCTCAGACAAAGTAAACAGATAAATCAGGACAGGGGCCATCAAGAGAGCCTAGTCCAGTCAAGGAAAAAGAAGGGGCTCGAGACACAGCTGCAATACTCAATACAAACAAAATTATCTGCATTGTAGGCTCAGCTAGAGTATTTAGACAGGAAGCTAGAATAGCAGACAAGTCCATGCACAAGTATTTTTGCAGTAAGGCCTGAATATGCAGACATAGGGACTGCAAGGCCAATAAGAAGGTATAAGTAGAGGTCCCAGGTGAAAACTGGTAAGGAAAATTAAGGCTTACTGGTGACCTCATGGCCCAGATTTTCCAGGTCTTTTCATTCTGGTGAGCTTCATAATAAAGACAAAATGGATTTATAGAGGAACAGCTGGAATTGATGATAGAGAACCTAGTGGAGCAGTGTGACTGGTCCAGGGAGCACAGGCAAATAGTTTGCAACTGTGCTCCCCATGCAACCAGAAGGGTGGACACTGAGCACATATAAGGGCCAGCTACAAAGGGAGGTACCTCTCTTGGATAGTCACTTCTTCCTTAGAAGATGTGCTATAGCTAGTCCCTTCACCAGTTGTGTACACTGAGCTCTTCTTTCAATGAATAATTTGCTTGGTAGTGTGAAGAACCTATTTGTATGGGAATTATTGAATCACAGCCTGAATCTCCGTTTGATCACCTGAGGCAAGCAATGAGTCAGCTGTACGAGCGCAGGTGAAGGCAAGTCATCTATGTGACTGGAAGGGATGAAGCCTTGCTCCACATCTCCTGGACCCATTTAAGGGCTGACTGTCACTAAGGGAAGATTTCTCTCTGGAGATTGTTCCTTTTGGAGTTTTTTTTTTTTGTGTGAGCCCAGGACACGGGTAAGCTTTTCCATTCATTTCTGATTACCCCTTTCCAAAATGATAATCTTTCTAGCTATATGCTCTCTAAAGACCAGCCTGACTTCTCTGTATATTTGTCAATTATACATCTGTATACTTGTTGATTATACTCTAGGCAAGCTGTCAGGCCAAATATACTTAAATATATAATGCCTTTTCTCTGGGATTTCTATAAATGGGAGGAGAACATTACACCCCTAGACAAAATTATTCCAGGACAAATAGCAGAATTTCTGGGATCTCCCTATAATGAACTAGCAACCATCATTGAAAAATGGGGTCCCCTACATGTTATGGGAAATATCTCCCCATATTGTATGGTGGGCTATTTTCACTGGCTAAGCAAAGATATACTAATTACAAAAGAACAGCAGTTAGCTGCCTCTACAGTGCCGTGGCCACTGTTAAATGCTTTAAACCAGGCTGAAATAAGGGCCAATACTTTAGAAAATGAAGACCAGTTGTTGAGAGTCCACATTGAGAGGTTAGAACAAGGACTTGGTATATTGACAGGGAAAACAACAACTTTGCATTTTCTAGTAGGACAGGTTCATAATATTTCAATAGACAATGACCAGACCAGACTTTTGAATCAACAGAGCTGGTGGATCAGGAAAATAAAAATTCTAAATTAAATCTTGAGTCTCCGCTTGCAACGGATCCCCAGAAGATTTGTCCTATTATAACCTAACATATATATATATATATATATATATATATATATATATATATACACACAGGATAAACTGAGAGGGCTGCCTCCTGATCAGGGGCCTCCTGCCCAGACTCACTTGCATGTAACAGCCCAACCATACACAGCAACAGAGTTAATGGACCTGGTACAGCAGTTCCAGCAAAAGCCTAGAAAAAGAATACCAACTTGGCTATTGAGACTATGGGACTCAGGGGCAGAAAGTGTTATGGTTAATAGGCCAGAAATATCTAAATTGGCCACCATGACTGTACACCCTGCCCTTAGGCAGAGATTATATGTGGGCATCCAATATGTTAATGAAAAACATTATATAATAGATTGGTTAATGGTGGCATGCCATATGGTATGGCCAAATAAATCCGACATACCATTACATACTAGGTTGTGGTTCTCCATGGATGACCTTCAAAATTACATCCATGAATTGGGCATAAGGGAAGCAATTCATGAAGATTTGTTTGACAGCCCTGATATGGCCAGATTTTCAGTGGGGATGAAAGATTTGATTTTGCAGCAGTCCCCTTCCCACCTATATGGCACTTTAGTCTCTCTACTGAACCCCCTGGTGGCCTCAGAATTGGTAGTTCAACAGGCTAATTGCCAACTAATGGCCAGTCTGGGAGAGACAGAGTGCCTGTGGACCAGGCACACTATTTGAACACTAGAAGAAGCTGAAGTCCTGCTACTAATTAAAACTAGGAGGCCATCTATATATATATCTACTAGGTTCCTCAATCAGGACCCATACGGGTTTCCTGAAAGCAAATGTTTACTGACCTAATCTGGGCTGGGGTCCAATTTGCTAAAACTGATTGCCAGCCCAATCATATCCTTCTCCAGCTTTGGAAATAGTTGACAATCAAAAATTTCAAAATTACCCCCAAAAAACGAGGGTAAGAGTTATGGATAGATTACCAATGACAACATGGAACTTAAAAGATTATATAGTCCCTAGTAGGAAAAAGAAGCCTCCTCAGGTGTCTCAGGCCATGATGCCTGAGCCACCAGAGATAAAAGATTGAGGCATAGCACGATTTATGGTGTGACAAGGGATGTTAGTCCCCGTAGGGCCTCCAGATTGGACCAGTGGCCCTATGTAGAATTAATGATTTCTTGGTCCCAAAAGAGTATTCAGAGAGTGATGCTGTTGGTGGACACAGGAGTGGAAACATCAATAGTTTACAGAGATTTGATGAAATTCGAAGGCGATAGAGTGGTGATTGGTGGTTTTGGGGGACAGACCATTTCAGTCACCCAAACATGGTTAAAACTGGGAGTTGGGCATTTCCCACCAGGGAACATAAACTGTCTATTGCCCTAGTCCAAGAATTCATCCTGTGCACAGATATCTTATGGGGTCTGGCTCTCCACATGACTGTGGGAGAGTACAGACTGACAAAGGTGTATTAGTGTCCGGGTGGTGCAGGCAATATTAAGAGGCCATGCGAAACATGGGCCTATTTGCCTGCCAAAACTGGCTGGATTACTAATATAAAACATATAAAAATAGTATAGGCTCCCAGGTGGACAAGATGAAATATTGAGAACAGTGCAGGAATTAGAAAAAGTGGGCATTATCAGACCTGCACACAGCCCATACGATTTCCCCATATGGCCAGTGAGGAAGTCGGATGGAACATGGAGAATGACGGTGGACTATAGAGAGTTAAATAAGGTCATGCCTCCTATTCATGCAGCCGTACCCACTATTGCCTCCCTCATGGACATATTGAGTAGAGAGATAAAAGCTTACCATTGTGTCCTGGATTTGGCAAATGTGTTCTTCAGTATTCCAATTGCTGAAGAGTTGCAAGTTCAGCTTGCATTTACATGGGGAAGCAGGCAGTGGACCTTTCAGGTCCTGCCACAAGGGTACGTGCATTCACTGACGTAACTGTCGTAATCTAGTGGCACGTGACCTGGCTAATTGGGAGAAACCTGATAATGTCAACTTGTATCATTATACTGATGATCTTCTGTTGACATCTGACTCACTGGAGGCGGTAGGACAGGCAGCGGACTCATTAACTGCCTATTTGCAACAGAGAGGATGGGCTATAAATCAAAGGTGCAAGGTCCGGGCCTGTCTGTAAAATTCCTGGGGGTGGTTTGGTCAGGAAAGACCAAAGTACTAGCCAGCGCTGTCATAGATAAGGTTCTGGCATTCCCAGTCACTACAACTCCAAAGCAGCTGCAGGAGTTTTTAGGTATATTGGGATACTGGTGGTCTTTTATACCTTGTTTCGCACAGCTGCTGAGGCCATTGCACAGACTCAAGAAAAAGGGACAACTAAGGGACTGGGGAAGAACAGAACAAGCACTTTCCAACAGGTGAAACTGGCAGTCAAACAAGCCCGGGCACAGGGTATATTTGATCCTACCATCCCAGTTGAACCGGACATTCATGTCACTCACAATAGCTTTGACTGGGGCCTGTGGCAACACCAGAGTTCTATTCGGATTTCCCCATTGGATTCTCAGGTCTGGCATGGAGCAGAAGAAAGATATAATATGATTGAAAAACAGTTACTGGCTGCCTACGCTGCATTACAGGCAGTAGAGCCGATAACTCAAACAGCTGAAGTTACAGTTAAGACCACTCTGCCGATTCAGGGGTGGGTGAGAGATCTGACCCACCTTACTAAGACAGGTGGCCCAAGAACAAACGATGGCATGATGGGTTGCCTACCTCAGCCAAAGGAGCAGTCTGTCTTCATCATCCTTGAGAGAAGAACTTCAGGAGATCCTAGGCCACGTTACATATCACAGTGATGCACCAAAAGAAACACTGGTCGCTCCACCAGAGAAGAGTCCCGTTCAGGAAGGAAAATATCCTATCCATGAAGATGCCTGGTACACAGATTTGTCCAGCAAGGGCAACCCAAGCAAGTAGAGAGCAATAGCATACCATCCTTCCACCAAGACTATCTGGTTTGAAGAGGGGGATGGTCAGAGCAGCCAGTGAGCAGAACTGCAAGCCATGTGGATGGTTATAACCAAGGAACCCGGTGTCTGATAGAGTCTGATTCTGCAAGTCAACTTGGTGACCCAGACAGGACAACCTCTGCTCAGCTGCAGGTCTGGCTGAGAAGAGGTAGGCCTTTGGCACACCCCGAGATTTCTCGGAAGGACTCCCTTTCCTCATCCGTTCACTGCGGGAGCAGACAAGGACCATCCATTGGCAGACCAGGTATGTGTATGGAATGAGGGGAACTCGTAAGCCATGCGGAAATGTCCTACGCCCCTGGGCAAGTGAGCTCACCGGTTGGGCTGGTTGCCAGCTGGGGTAGGAAACTCCTTGGGGAGTTCCTACAAAGGGGACTTGTAAGTCATACCCGGGGGTTGGTAACATCAGGTATTTTGTTAAATGAATACTTGGATTCTTGTGGCCATAATATTGGGAATCATAGATTGTATTATTATCATCATCATTTATTAAATATGTTTGGTACCATGCATTTAAGCTATTATAATTGACACAGTTAAGCGTTTGAACGCAGGTTGTATTTGAGCCAGCATTTGTATATATGTGTGAATGAGTGGGATGCTGTGTGTGAAAGTTTTGTTATGGACACGGCAGAAAAATTGAAGTGGCTTTATGTGCTATATGAGCAAATGAATTTTTTGGAGTAGGATGAAGATGTAAGGATATATGTTGTAGATCATAGTGACGGTCCAGTTCAGCGGTGTCTTTTTCATAGAAAGAAGTGTTGTCCTATATATGTGATAGTTTGCTTAGTCAGTAAAGAGACTAAGGGTTGTTGGTGTCACTCATGCCCAGAGTGTAGGCGAGAGTGCTGGAACAAGTTTTGGGGACTGTTTTGGGGAAACTTCGAAGTATTAGGGGTAATCTGTGGGAACATTAGTGAAATAATGAATCAATAAAGAAACATTATGGGAAATTCACAAGGTAAGGAGGTACCTGAGAAAACACCCTCTGCATTCTGGCAAATTAGCTAACAGGAGATCAGGGGGTAGTTTAGGTAAAAAGACCTTGATAAAGTATTGTAATCAGTGGTAGCTATTATATAAGTTAGAAGATGTTGAAAAGTAGCCCTTGAATGGGACTTTAAATTACAATACTATCTTACAATTGATGTTCTTTCTAAGATGGGAAGGTAAATGGGATGAAGCAGCTTATGCAGGTATGTCCTTTGCACTTCGAAATCATCCTGAGTGGCAGAGAAAGTGTGGAATAGAGGCACCTCAGGACCCATTCGTCTTAGCAATAGAAAAAGAAAAGTGAGTTACAGGAAATGGTAGGATAAAGCACTGTTGTAGTAGTTGTAGTACAGGGCAGTAATACACAAGGTTGGCTGGACTAAGGGATGCAGATGAATTGTTGGAACATTATTGAGCTCCTGGAGCTGGAAATCTAGCTGCAGAGCCAGAGAAGGGGGAGGATTTGTCTCCTTCTGAAACTCCTCCTGACTCCCCCATAGCTTCAAGGACCAGGAGACAACAGAGTGTTCTTTTAGAGCCTCCAAGGGAAGTAACAGGTCCAGATGGGACACGAATCTTAATTTAAATCCCCTTTTTCTCTTTTGATTTAGAAACTTGGAAGGGAACGGAGAGGGACTATTAGAGTGATCCATTGATGGTAACAAAACACTTCTATTTCTTAAGGCTGCATTATCCCGATTGGAGCAATATTCAGTTCTTATTAGATTATACGACTGAAACAGAAAAGAAGTTAATTTTGAGAACAGCTCAGAATATAGCAGAAGACAGCTTGTCAGGAAATGAGGTTATACAGGAACATTTTCCTTTGCAATATCCTCACTGGGACCCTAATAGGAGTATCGAGAGACAGGGTTTGGACACACATAGAGAATGGATAGTAAAAGGAATGGAGCGAGCCATTCCAAAAACAATCAATTGGTCTACTTTTTATGCTGTAAAATAGCATATCCATTGGAATTCCTGGATATGTTGAGAGATACCATGAGAAAACATACCCCCTTAGATCCAGAGTCAGAGGTTGGTATTCAGCAATTAGTGTCATTATTCATAGGGCAGTCAGCAGGGGATATAAGACGGAAATTACAAAAGTTAAAGAGACCTGAAGCACGAAACTTGGAAAGTTTGCTAGAGGAGGCATGGAAAGTGTTCAGTAACCGAGAGAAGGAGGAAAGAAAGAAAGGAGGATGTTAGTGGCAGCATTACAGGAGGTAGGACTGAGGGCAGTAAGGAGACCGCTTGAGAAAGACAAGTGCGCCATCTGTAGGAAAAAGGGACATTGGAAGAGTGAATGCTCACAAAGGACTGAAAAGGAGGGGGGGTCATGGACTAGGACCCAAGCCCTGGTGGAAAGGGATTGACAGGTACCTGCAGAATCTACCCTAGCGGATCCACTGATTAAAATCAAGCTAGGGAATAAACAACAAAGTGTAGAATTTTTGGTGAATACGAGAGCTGCTTATTCTGTTTTAAATGAATTTTTGATGTCATTGAGTGAAAATTTTGTAACAGTAAAAGGGGCAACAGGTCAACCAGAAAAAAGCATATTTTTCTAAACCACTAAAGTTTAAGTTGGGAAAGCAGGTGGGAATACACAGATTTTTGTATATGCCAAATTCGTCAAAATCTCTCCTAGGGCAGGACTTATTGGAACAATTGGAAGCAGAAGTAAAGTTTGAAGTAAAGGAAGAGCCTATGATAGAACTACTCAATTTGGCCTTAATAACTACCTCAGCAAGTACAGGGATTCCAGAAGAAGTAAGGGAACATGTTTATCTAGGGATATGGGAAGTCAAAACCCCAGGCCGAGCTAAAAATGAACCCCGTGTAACCTTGGGAGTCAGACCCCAAGAATTAAACAATATCCCCTGAGGACAGAAGATAGTGAGGGGATACAACCAATAATTGACCAATTCATGAAACACAGTTTGCTGATAGAATGTGAATCAAAATATAATGCGCCAATATTACCAGTAAAAAAGCCTGACAGCGGTTACTGGGTGATACAAGATCTGAGGGCAATTAACAAAATAGTTGAGGATTTGTATCCTTTAGTAGTCAACCCGTATACCTTGCTCACCAAATTATCCAATGAACTAATATGGTTCACTGTTCTGGATTTAAAGGATGCCTTTTTCTGCTTGTCACTGGCCACAGAAAGCCAGCTATTATTTGCCATTTATTTCCCATTTGTTTTCAAATGGGAAAACCCCAGACAGGGTGAAAATCACAGCTTACCTGGACTGTACTCTCACAAGGATTTAAGAATAGTCCCATGATATTTGGGAACAAATTAGTCAAAGACCTGGAGGAGTGGGAGCATCCATCTGATGAAGGGGTACTATTGCTGTATGTGGATGATTTCTTATAGCTACAGAAACAAAGGAAGAGTGTCTGAAGTGGACAGTTAGTTTACTAAATTTTTCTTGGGCTTAACAGGTATCAAGTCTCTCCACAGAAAGCACAAGTTGCTCAACAGCAAGTGACATATTTGGGGTATGAGATCGCTGCGAGGGACATGAACGCTGGGAACTGCTTGAAAAGAGGCAGTTTGCCAAACCCCTGAGCCACACACACTCAAGGAGCTTTGAACGTTCCTTGGGATGATGGGATGGTGCTGTTTATGGATACCTAATTACAGAATGATTGTAAAACAGCTCCACATGATGTTAAAATCCTGCTCAAAGGACTTAACTTTGGATAAGGAGGCTAAATGGGCATTCTGGCAGTTGAAAAAGGAGTTGATGAAAGCCCCAGCCTTGGGACTTCCAGATGCCACTAAGCCCTTTCTACTGTTCTCCTATGGAAAAACAGGGAATAGCCTTGGGAGTATTGAACCAGAACCTTGGGCCATACTGTGGCCTACTTCTCTAAACAACTTGATGAAGTAAGAAAGGGTGGCCTGGATGTCTAAGGGCTGTAGTTGCCCTGATAATTAAGATCCAAAGAGGCACGACAGTTTACACTGGGACAGAAGATAACTGTATTTGTATCCCATATGGTCTCTACAGTGTTAGAAGTAAAATACCAAGCTATTCTAGTGGAACAAGATGATATAGGAATAACAGTAACAAACATTACAAACCCTGCTGCCTTTCTTAGTGGAGCTATGGGAGAGCCCCTTCCCACGACTGTTGACTATTGAAGCTGTATATTCTAGTTGTTTGGACCTAAAAGAGAAACCACTGGAGGATGCTGAAGATACCTCGTATACAGATGGAAGCAGTTTTGTTCAACAAGGAGTCCGCAAAGTGGGATAGGCAATAACAACTATTGATGATGTGGTGGAAGCCAAAGCTCTACCCCCAAACACCTGGGGAGCAGAAGCATTATATAAATATCTTGTTCAATGAGTAATGGCCCAAAATTTGTATACTACTATTAGACGAGTGACCCAACAATGAAGTCTGTCTACAAAATAATCCTAAACAGATCACAAGGTTCAGTTAGGGCAAATAGGGAAGTGAAATTATCCAGGACAACAATGGCAAGTGGATTTTTCAGAGCTCTCAAGAAAAGGGGGGTATAGATACATGTTAGTCCTAATGGATACCTTTTCAGGATGGCTTGAGGCATACTCTTGCAGAACTAATAAGGCTAGGAAAGTAACAAAGGTTTTGTTACAAGAAGTAATTCTGAGGTTTGGGGTGCCAAGAGCAATCTCATCAGATCAAGGCCCACATTTTATTGCTAAAGTGGTCCAGCAAATTAGCACATTACTGGGAATTGACTGGCAATTGCACACACCTTATAGACCGCAGTCAAGTGGCCAGGTGGAAAAGATGAATCATCTGATGAAGTTACAAATAATAAAACTCACCCAAGAGGCTGGGATTCCATGGCTGCAATCACTGCCTCTGGCACTTCTAAGAATTCAGACTAAACCTAGTACCAAGGAAGGATTGAGCCCATATGAGATTCTTTATGGGCGACCTTATACTGTACAAAAGGAAATTTCTATCCAGGTGGGGGATGAAATGTTGAGTAAATATATGATTAGCCTAACAAAGCAATTAAGGAAAACTGAAAGAATGGTATTTGATACCAGAGCACAGGCCCTAGACGAACCAGTGTGCGATATATTGCCTGGCGATTATGTCTATGTTAAATCTCTCTCAGATTCACCCTCAGAACCAAGGTGGGAAGGGCCCTATCAAGCACTTTTGACCACTCATTCAGTGTCTAAGGTGGGAGGACTGATCCTGTGGATACACCATACCTGCCTGAAGAAGATCGTCTGACCACAGTGGACTGTTGAAGACTCTTAAGCTTAAACATAAGAAGACAACATGAATACATTATTTCTTGTAAACAGTGTTTGTATAGGACTTGCTTTGGCATTAATTTCATACAAATGACAGAAAATCTCACTTGGGTTCTAAATATTTCAAATTGTTGGGTGTGTATAGCCTTGTCAAGAGATGGAGGGATGGAACTCAAACTCGCTCAATATGGGATTCCATCTGCCAATTGGACACTATCGAATGGGGCAGGAGTTAGACGTGGGTGTCTAAGTGAAAATATGACTATAGAAATAAAGGGAACTAAATTCAATTTACAACTTTGAGCAGATCGTAATATTACAGTACTTAGGAGAAAGGGTACAGGTAGACCAACAGATGTAGGGGAATTTAATGTATCTTCTCGAGATGGAGTATAGTTTTGTAATCTCGAGGGTCCAAGGGAGGGTGGAATAAATGACGCATTGATATTGTGTTTTGTGAAGGAGAGTGCTCCTTAGAACCAGGGTTGTAGTGGCTCTGTGACGGACAGGCAAGGAAGACACTACCAAAGAACTGGAAAAGACATTGTGTAGGGGGGATATTTAGTGCCCCAGAATTCCTTTTTCAATGGGACAGTTCTTCATTCCAGGATACTGAGAACTCACTGGAAGAGGATGAAACATGTAAATAACCCCCTTATAGAAAAACCGATCAGCTTCCATAGCTTTGCTAAATGATTTATCCTGTTTCTGGGAGTAAGTGAATTAGAATAAACAGTAGTTAATATTTCAGCTACTTTGAAGATAATAGAAAATGCAACAATGGACACAATAAGAGAATTATAAATAGAAGTTTCAATGTTAAGTAAAGTAGTGCTGCAGAATAGGATGTTGCTAGATCTATGAACAGAAAAGAAGGGGGAGTTTGTGTAGTTATTAATCAGAGCTGTTGTGCATACATAGATGAAACTCAAAGGGTAGAAACTATATGGGAATGCCCTCTGTATGCACAGTGCTGATTAAAAATATACTTGCTTTTATAACTACTTTGTAGTTATAGAGTCTGATTCTGCAAGCCTTATCCCAGAGGACTGTTCTGTTTCTATTTTCCATTCAGAGGGAAAGATGAAACTGTTCACAGGTCATGAGACATCCCTCTTTTTCCCTTTCTGCTCATCTCTGCAGCGTGTGTGCTCCCTAGCCATCTCACATTTAGCATTAGAGTAAGGTCTTTGGTTTTTGGACGCTCTCTCTCATTTTATGTGATTTATTAACTTCAGTTCCAATTGCATTTTATTGTCTTACCTTGCATTCCGCTATCACATTTAGTAAATTAACTTTCCCCCTCAGATCATTGCCACTGTCTTGTTTTTAGGCCTATCTCCCTACAGTTTCTCCTTTTTCCCCTTCCCCCTTTCCTGGGATGTGGGTCCATGGGTCCTCCCACCCCACTTGACCTAACCAACCGTTCATGCAGGCGCTTGTCCAGTCAGAGCTGAGAGACGTTCTCTCTTCTTCTAGTGGTGTCCTTGGTTCTCATGCTGTTTATCTTGCTCCACAGCTTCTGCTCTGAACAGTTTTTCTTGAATTCCGACAAGTATATAGCTGCCAAAAATGACAAAGGGCTTTCCCAGTGACTTGTGCCATCCCACTCATTCTGTTGCCTTGCATAGGTTTTCAGAGTTGCCTATGGTCGCTTTGCTTACAGATGCATTCTCTTGGTGAGTCCGTCCCCTCCTGCTGTGAGTCATCACCAAAGTTTTATTCAGAATGTAAATGGTCTCTATGGGAGGACCTCTCTTTCACAGCAGCTAGAAGCCTGAAAAAAAAGAGAATCCATCTGCAACAGTTCTTTTCCTATGAGTAATGAAGAGTGACTTGAGATTTCCCCTATAAGAAATACTAGTTATCTTTTTCAAGGTGACTTTTTTGTATCACTATGCATTGAATTCTGATAGATCCATTTATTAACTAAATAATATCAAAATATTCTTCAGCTTCTAGGAGAAAATGCATTAATGATGATATAAAATAGTTACAATTCTATGAACTCACAATCCTTTTTGACAATTTATTCACACATTTTAGGTGAATACTGGATTTTATGTCTGGACCTATCTTAGGTTGAGGAAATGAGAATATAAGCAAGGCAAGTTCAGTGCAATGCCATGATTATTTTGGAAACATTTTGTATTATGATGTGACTGAAAAAGAAACACCCTCAAGAAACTAATCAACCAACCAATTAAAAAAAAATCTCAATACAACTTTGCACTCCTGATTTGCCTTTTCATCGTAACAAGGTTTACCAAAACCAAACAGTCCCATATTTTAAATCTATAGACAGTGACCATGATTTTCAAGTATCTCAAATTTTGGGTGCCTGTATCAGAATTAGAAGAATGTAACAGGACAAAAAAAAGGTGGAAGCATGAGGTTTTTAGTTCAGTTCCATGAGCCAAGATGATCAATTGCAGGATGTACTCAGGTGGAGAAGGGTGGATCACTAGACAAAAAGGCTTTGTGATCCCAAACATCCATTTTGTGACTAGAATAATATTTGTGATGAATAAAATCAAGGTTAAACCAATACATTTTGTATCTGAGCCTACTATACCCAAAGTTACATCAGCTACCTAACTAATATCTTGCATTCTCTGGCTTTTCACAAAAACTTGATCCTGGCTTGATCCCATTTAAAAAATGAAATTAAAAAAAAAAAAAATATATCTATTGTAACTGTCAGAGAACAGAAAAGAAAGTTCACTTGCATATCTAGTTGTTCCTGGTTTTGGTGAAGAAAAATGGAAAGCACTTGAAGCCAAGAAAAAAAAAAAAAAAAAGAAAAGAAAAGAAAGAACAAACTCTTTGGTTTTGGCTTGGTATCCTATCAGAGCTCCTGCATTATCATTTAATTATTATAATTTAGCTGAGAGCACTTTTTTTTTTCTGTTTTCATTTAAATCTTTTTTGAAATTACATCAAAAATATAGGCATAGGTTGAAACAATCAGCTGATAAATACTGAGAATATTTATTTGAAAGTCTGTGTCTTCTCCAATTGATAGCACCAATAAAGTTTTCAGCAGGGTAAGAGTCTAGAAAAATATTCTGTGAAAACATGGCTAAATGTGTCTATTTTTCAGTCAAACTGTATACCATACAGGGGCCATAAACTGCTACAGGTTCACATTTAACAGAGGAAATGTGCTAAATAAAACAAGAGCAAAGCATGTAGCTTAGTCTCCAACTTTTTTTGTCCCGCAGTACAAATCTAAATGGTTTGAAAACATAGTTGATTTTGCTTTATACATAAATAAATCACTTGCTTTGGCGTTTTGTGAATGTAGCTAGAGGCAAAATGGGATCTTATAAAACCTGTTTGCTATTGTACTGCTTCTGACAAAAGCTAAAACTCCAAAAAAATGGAATTTTAAAAAGACACTTTTTTTTTTTTTTTTTTCCCAGGGATCTATAAAGAAGAAATAGATGCTGTGACTCCCCAAATTCCAAAATACATAGTACAGAAGGACCCAAAGAAAACAAATGAATCAAAAAAGGTTAGATTTTAGGTGGAAGCCTTTGTCTGTTAAT